CTACTCCAAGGTGCTGGATTATCCCATAATACACTCTCTCTACTTCAAGATTATTTTGCTGGTAGAACACAATTCCCAAAGTTTCTTTGGCAAACCTCTGACTCCCTACCAGTCAACACAGGGGTGCTCCAGGGAGCAACTCTGTCCCCCTTTCTTTTTTAGTTTCTATATTCGTGACCTTCACAATAACCCAGAGGATCTTCCCATTAGGTATGCTGATGATGTCACAACTGGTTCCAAATTCCGAGGTGATTTCAGCTTCTCACAGCTTCATGCCAGTTTATCTGCCTTAAAATTATGGTCTTCGTCTTCCGAGTTTTCTCTCAATGCATTTAAGTGTAGCGATGTCACCTTTTCACTCGCCAAAGAAAAACGGCTGCATTCTTTTGAAAGGAATTGTTCGGCACTCTATGTTGACAACCAGCCTGTTCGCCCAGTAAATTCTCTACAATACCTCAGTGTCACTATCTGCCAAGATCTCACCTGGACCTCCCATTCAAATTCTACTTTTGTAAAGATTCGACGGTCGTGTTTCTTTATTCCCCGCTTGCGTTCTTTGAAAGTTCCACTGTATTTACTCACTCGATTTGTATATTATTGTGTTGTTACTCATCTTCTCTACTGTTCCCCAGTTTTTTATTTGCCAGTCTTATGGCTAAAGATTACACAATTCTACGCTGGTGTATTAAAATTTATTTCTCGCACAAACGATATTCCTTGTTTTCGCTTGCTTAACTTTATCGCCGATAAACATTTTACCTCTTACGATAACTTCTGAAACAATATTCAATCAGAAATCAATCCCCATTACACTTAGAACGTAAACAATGCGTATACACTTATGTCATTGAGTGTCATTATAAACTCTTGTATGCTCGTACCACCGCCCATCGTTTGTCTGTCATCCCCTATATTTCTGGCTCAGAAGGTATCCGTGAGAGAAAGGATTTTGAATTTCCTACGCAATTGATATCCATTTTCAAACTTTCACTCCACATTTCTTTGAATTTAGGATGCTTTTCCACTTTTTATTTTGGACTATATGCGGTGATAAATGATCCTGGAGTGCAAAAAGCTGAGAATCCATTACGATGAATAAAGCGATTTTTGTCTTGACTTGACTTGTTCTACTTGTGAGGCACTGGGTTCGATCCCCAGTTGACTCGATGAATTTTCATTGCTCGGATCAGACCCGACCAGGTCAAAACAGTTACACCTCATCTACACGACGAATTTATCATATAAACAAATCAAATCCTTCATTACTCTCACAAGAAAACGTTTTTCTTCGCACGTGAATACTAACTTAACTAGAATACCCTTTTGTGAGCCGTGCACCGAACCGGGATCACTCTGTTTACTTAACAAGTATACTGTTTGAGATGTGAGGAGGGCCCGGGAGCAGAAAATCATCAATCATCCTCTGCAGTTGTCGTGAACAATCAACAAGTCGGACACAATTGCATCCATGGCGCGGGTAAGATAACGTAGACCCTTTTCATATTTTTATTTAATTATTATTTATTTATTTATTTTTATTATGTTTAGGAACGAAAATTAGCGGTATTGTTAGATGAAAACGTTGCTACGCAACCGTTATTTAAATGTTTAAATTTAATGAATTCCCTGGTTCAAAGATTTATATCATATAACAGGAATGGAGGATTTGATTTGATTTGATTCTATGATGAATTCATCATATCAATACTGGGTTAGCTGTAAAGCTACAATACACTGAACAACTGTTTAGATATGGCTGGGTCTGATCATCTGTAGTAGAGAGAAAAGGTGTAAAGAACGTTCCATTTTATAACAAACAAATAGGTTAACTTATTTTTGGGAAGATGGGGAAGAAAATGACGATTTTGTTCTTCAAAACGTGCCGTTTCCCATTACAATTTCCCACATTCTGTCATTTGAGGAATAACAACCTTTCGGTCAAATTTAATCGGAACACCATTCTATTAGTGCTTAGTATCAAGTTGCCGTAAATCTCGTCAATGCCGGATGCGCTATGACGGCATGACAATCGCTAAAATAGTTCTTTGCTAACCATGGTGTCCCCCTCGTTTGGAGAAATCTTTTTTTTCTGTCGGTAATCGGTGGAAGGGAGCGCACTGGATAAACGTACCTTCATCGGGTTGCAAATCCACCAACGATTGACTATCTTCGTCAACTGTTTTCTTCCCTGGGAAAATAAGATGCAATGTGGGAAATATTTGTGCAATGAAGTTTAGTTTGAATGAGATAAAGAAATTATGAAATTTAATTTAACATGACATTTCCCAATGTACTCTTGTCTTGGTGAGTCAATATAAATTGAATACATCGATTGATATAAGTACATCAGTATTGCCTTCTCTATATGATAACACGACTGGTTTCATTTTAAGAATATCGAGACAGTTAAACACTCACTCATCGGCTCGTTGCCTCAGTTGTCAATCATTCTGCATCTGTAGCAGGATACCGGGATAAGCGTAACTACCATTATTGTGTTGAGCATGGGTGCAGTAATCAGTAGTGTGCTTTTGTGGGCAGTCAAACACTCTCTTATTCCCCTAGTTCCTGTCGAAATGCCTCATATCACGTACCTCCACTAATCGTCAAAATGTGCCTAGAAATTATCAATCATCTTATGAATAACAGTGTACTTCACATGCCCACATATTGCAGTTTGCACGGATACTATATGAGCTAAAAATGGAATTTCCAACAAGTATTAGTTCCCATCAACGGAGACAACTCCCCATTTGTGGTTCATTCCCTGAATTTCGAATGGTCAATTTCATTTTGGAATTCTCGGAAAACCCGTAGCAGTTCTGAAATGTGACGTTGTGACTCGTGTACATCGTTTGTGCAGCCGGCAATAAGTCATGACGACCGCCTAGCATAAAAAACCTCTCTGTTCGGGGCCACGAAAACCAGAAAGCCTTGTTCGGTTTTTTTTGTAGTGTTCATAGTTCAGCGAAAAACAAACCCATCCCTCTGCCTTTCAAAATGTGCTAATGGTGTGAAAAGTGAGATCGTCGATCGATTTTTTGTTTTTTATCGGGCAGTTGACGTATTAAGGATGCTTGGCTCACGTTTCGACTGATAAATCTAGACAGGCAATCGGTTTTACGGTCACTGAGTTGGACGAACCCGATTCTCCTCGTCTTTCGTTTATCGGAAAAACGAACCAGAAATCATTGAATAATTCCCCCGTACAATCAACTTGCTTTGCCTCAACCAAAAGCTTTCGCACCCAAACCTGATTAGTCGTGGCCAGAGTCGAAAAACACCACCAGTCCTGATGAGTGATGAACAAGTGTAAACAGGGAAGTCAAACCCACCAGAAGGGAGGATGGATCAGTTCTGTCTGATCAGTTCTACATTCCACAAACAAACTTGGACCGGACAGTATGCGAATTTCCGAAGCTTCTGTCGAATACAATACACGAGAGCCCCAGAAAAGGGCTTGTTTTCTAAAGCTAAATGAATTTGGTCCGCGGAAACACTTGAAAACGATCTTGAAACTGATATCCTGTGCATTACGAGATAAAGGATATCCACGAAATTTCAGTTCCAGGTATGGCAACAACATAAAGATCAGAAGTGGGAGAAACAATGTACCAGAGAAAAAACGTTCTCATCACATTACCCTTTAAAGGTGATCAGAATGGCAAACTACCACTTTGTCGGCTGAAACAAGTTCTTTCGAAAACGTACAACGCCGCTGCGCTAATTATTCTCCATAAAAGTAGACGAATGATCGCTGAATCCCACTTGGACCAGATGAACTCTCAAGTGATCTCCTCGTGTATCTATCTATCTATTTCAATGCACTTCCGGTAGCAAGTATAGCGGAAGAACTGCGAGAGGCTTGGCCACTCGGATTTCAGAACATGTCCCGAGGAATTAAGCGCTCAACGGCTCGAAGATCCTCTCCATCTCTATTGCCCGCTACATATTGGATTGCTAATTTTGCATTGATACGAAACAAGCATTCGGAATTGACAAAGTATTGAAAATTGGTTCTCGTAGCTCGGGTGAACTGAATTCNCCTGTTCGCCGAGCTTGGCAATTTGTTTGCAAACGTTTCATCACCAGCCGAGGTGATATCATCAGTGCTTGTGAAGTGGACCGGTTCACAAACACTGATGATGTCACCTCGGCTGGTGATGAAACGTTTGCAAACAAATTGCCAAGCTCGGCGAACAGGTGAAATAGAAAGCATTCCGAGTGTTAAACCAACAGAAAACTGAACGGTTGTTACGGTTTGCTGAGGCCGTAGTCATTCGACATCACAGACGAGACCTCTGCCAACAATTAAACTTTGTGGCCAGCATAACCGTCCCGTGGTACAGCTGTCACCTTGATTCCGATCAATGTATATGTTCTCTCATCCTATCCCTCTGTTCAACCCGATTGTGATTGGTGATCTTTGTTCTTCACACTGATTTTGCCCAGTCGAGTGTTTTTTTCATGTTTAAAGATGTGTCATTATCCTAATCGAACTTTCTCAGGAATGTTTGTATACACAGCTGAAGAGATAACGTGAAACAGTTGAATTCAACCTGTCCTGAGATAATACTTGTTCTCGCTCTTATGAAATTCCTAAAGGGAACTGGATGTATGAAGTGTAAACATTATCGAATATTACATAGAAACATTATAACGGATATCCGATTTAAGTTCCGTGCGCTTTCGGATCAACAACACAGAAAATATGTTGAACCTCAATAAATCACGCAATCTCAGTGCAAGCCCATGAACACACACACACTTAATTCACTTCAAACGTACCCTGTTCCTCACTGAGACGTAAATCGTTGATAGCGCGTCGAATTACCTCCATTGTGTTGTGCTCGAGCGTGAAATCGTTCAGTCGTTGAATGAATTTCAGCTCCGGTTTGGATTTGCTTGTCTTACGCGGTGAATTCCGCCTGTGCTGTTCACCGGGACACGTGGTCGCCCCGGACGAAACGGAATAGCTGAGCATCGAGTCTGCCTGATCGGACACGGCCGAGGCTTGTTCCAACTCCTGAATGAACAGATTCTCAGTTTCATGTGTCCGTGTGATCAACGATTGGGATACCTATAATTAGTGGTATGAATTAGGGGACAACGAGTGGGATGGGGTGAGAGACAGAAAGGAAGGGGACGGGGGGAGAGTATAACGTATTACGCGGTTAATGGCTAGCATGATTGCACCAATCAGTAATACCGTTCGGTTTTTCTATCTGATACCGGTAATTATAACCCCGGATGAAACACAAAAGTTGCACAGTGAATTGCCCCACCGAGTTGAGAATTCAGAACGCAGAAGAGTTAGTTACATTGAAATATCCTGTAACATTACTTTTTGTTAAAATCAGAAAATAGTCTTTGGAAAATGCTACACTGCTACACCAGTGATGCGAACCAGTGGTTGGTTGGTTGGTTGGTTGGTTTATCGTCCTCGGAAACAGTTGGAAGAATTTTAAACCCAGTTTCATTACACGTGACAATGTTTCAACCGTAAATTATAATTTCCACATAACTTTGCTCGTTTTGTTTAGGAAGTTAATAAATATGACGGTTTGTTGAATATGGTCCATCCGACATATCATTAATCCATCATGTGTGGGTTTGTTTTTCTTCTTCAATCTACCGCCAGTCGGTTTTGTGTGTCTTTTTGTGTGAATTGCTCAATGTGAATGCATGCCTCATCGAAAGAGGAAAGAAAAAAGAGATTGAATTTAAGAATACAGTCAAAACATTATTTTATTGATAGTTATCGTCGGCAGGTTCGCTCTTTTCAAAAAAAAAAAGGCATCCGTATTGCCTTCCTTCATTTCATGCATTCCAAAATCGAAATGAGTTTTCTCCAAACCCAGCATCAATGCACGTGAGAAACCGGACGATATTGACGTGAACAAAATCAGAAATTGTGTTCAACCAAACGACTGATGCGAAATGCGTTTCGCCCCTCTCCCCCCGCGCTTAAGTACTACTGATTTATCCATAATTTCGATGAGAAGTACGACTTTTCGGACAGTTCATGCAAATAAACACCGAATGAATAGTTTTCAAAATAGTACAACTACGCGGTAGGCGGGCAGGTTGTTGTTAATTGACTGTCGAAATATGTGCTGTCCGGAAAATTGTACAACGAATTCCCGATATTTACACAACTATTGATAATTGTAAATTTGTAGTGAAAAAAATGGACAGGAGAAACTGAGTTGTTTACCATGCAATTATCAGCTGATTTTTTTTGCGATACAATGCGACGAAGATGTGACAGTGAGTTAATTCTCCGTAGAAAAGGAAATTTTAGGAGCTACTAAATGGCTGTTGAGCTGAACCGCCCTGCTGTCTCATTCTTTTTTTTCAATTTCAGGAGAACCCGTTGAAACCTTAAGTGAATTCATCGGTCGCATTCAATCCGGAATCTTCAGAAAAAACTAAAGCCAGTTCGGTTTTTCATCCGCCACACTCCACCTAATGAAGGAGGCTACCGAGCGAAGATGAAAATCTCAATATGGATCTATGCCGTCTAAATGGCGGGTGACTTTGAGATGACAAGTGAAGAGAGTACCTCTGCCTGTGTTTCAAGTGTCTATTGTTCGGTAGTCGTTCCAAAAAAAGCAACACAAATTCAATCATTGTTCGGTGAAACCTGTCACAATTGATGCAATGTGAAGGTAAGAACAAGCACTAAGCTGATGGCTGATTATATCCGAGCCAGATAAGATAGTCAAAGCGCCAGATAGCTCACTGTCCTCTCCGGATTTCGTATCTTGCTGGATCTGGTGAATGCGCATTGCTAACGTATTCCAACAAGCTGAGTGTTAAACAACTGTCTATTCACAATAGTGCTTGAAATGATGAGTTGGCACGAAAAATGTGTTTCAACAAAACAAAATACTCCCTCCACCAAATGATTAATGAAATAATTTGCCATTTAAAACCATTCTGTCGTCGCAAACTGAAAGTCTGTTTGTATGGAATCTAGCGATGCACGAGTAGTAACACTTATATGAGTAGTCTGTTACTTAACGGTTTGAAAATCGTGGTAAATTATTGAACATGTGAGTCAGAACGCTCGAGGGATTGTGCGCCGATTGTATGCTTGTTGGACATCAGCAGGCATACCCAGTCCTCAACTGTTCCACGACATTTCCATCCAGTCCTTCTTTATTTTCGGCAGGTGTGGTGGTGGTGGTGGTGGCTGCGGGGGGGGGATAGATTGAAAATGTATTGCAAGGCATCTCCTCTCCTCCTTTCTAACACGTGTTTCCAGTCCTATTATGCTAGCAGTTGCTGAGACTGTTTCATAGTGCCCAGTTCTCATTCAGTAAAAAGTGAACCGATTTCATTCCTACCCCACCCCCACCCAAAATCATTAAGGAGTGTCAGGAATTTGCCTCAGCCACAGTTCGTGGTTAAGCGGTTTTGCAAGTGGCCTCGATGTTTCGCTATAGCCTCTTTATTATTCGTGACTGATGAACAATCTATCTATTGTGTTTTGTGACAATCAGGCCTGACATTCACAATTCTCCCCGGGGATAACTCATCTCCCTGAGTCTATCGTTTGCGTGCTGTACACACGTATACAGGGATACATTTGATGGGCTTGCGGAAATCTTATTGTCTAAAGCTATTGCATTATTTAGCACTTGGGAGGACACCTTTTACCGAACGCCCCTCCCCCTCTCTATGCCCGCCCGTCATGATGTGTGGAATCCGCTCGTGATAGATTGATTGTACCTGTGTGTGTCTCCTAGTGCTCACTCAGATTGTGGCTGTTTGAGAACACCGGCCGGACGATATGGGAGAAGGTTCTTCTTCGCGGATGTTGATGATGATGAGCGATCGATTGAGTGCGAGGCAAGGAGGGATGGGTTGTGAGAGATGAATTTCAGAGTGACAGAGCCGTGGGATCCGCATAGTATAGGAAAGGGTGAGAAGGTGGAGACAAGTGCAATTGTTTTGCTTGTCACGGTCGCAAACCCGATAAGGACCGATGGGCGTGCCCCGTTGCTTTCACCTACCACTAGTTCTCATTGCGGTGGTCCCTTCGGGATCTTGGAGATGCACCACTCTATCTCAGGGTGTTTGCCAACTGCTTGGATTGTGTCCAACCCAGGATCATGATGTTTCGGGGCAGTTTATGAGAACTATTGTACGCAATAAACATTGTATTCGTGCCCCTATGGTTATATTTCACATTTTTGTAAACATAACATAATATGAAGTTTCAGTAAATTTGAAGCACCGCGTCTATTGTGACACTATAGAAATAAACCCTGATTTACAGGTTGTAAAACCTTGACTTTAATTGTGGTAGACATCCATCGAATAGAGAGAGGATTTCACCAATCCGTGTTCACATAGCTTTGCGCAGATGGAATGGAAAGAGCTTGTAAGCAACCTAAAAGGTAAACCACCATGTGTGTGTGTGTGTATTGGATAATCTTTGTGATGGAAAATTCAGTTTTGCGTCCAATTTAAAGGAGTCAACTCCACTGGCTAGTACACCAACTGCCAAACCGAAGTGTTGTCTGTTGCACCCGGGACGTGTTTGCAGTATCCGGTCCAGGTTAGAGAAAATATCGTGAAGTTGAAATAACGATATTGAGATGGGGTTTGAAGTAATGCATCTAAGGTCTACCGTCTTCTGGGTAGGGATCCAGAAGTTTGGTAGGGACAGAAGACGGATGCGACAACGAGCTGACCCCAACGGCATCCTTTTTATCGATTCTTTCCAGTCTAGAATTCTTGAAAGGTGTATGTGCACAGTTTGACTGTGTACCATAGATTGACAGTTTTTACAATTTTGCCAAAACAGGTCCACGCCCCATCTGTCTGACGCAAATAAAAAATAATTTGAGCATATTTTCAGTTTGGCAACGATCAGTGAAGTCGGCTTCACTGTATTTTGCTGTACAGTGATGAGGAGTCCGTTGAGTCTGGTGCCTCAGATGGTGAAGATGAGGGAAATGATGATGATAATGATAATGTTTTATCCCCAAAGTACCCTGTAGTCATCCTCAACCTCGTAGTTGTCAGATGAAGTGTTAAAATCCAGGCTTCCGAACGATATGTCCCCTGCTATCATGTCACATAATAGAGAAATCAAAGAAAACTTGTCAGTGTCTAGGAGGGCTTCCACGGATAAGATGTAGCTTCTTGTTTGTTCAAATCGGTGGTACATTTTGGAAACAATAGGATGTGATGCAATCATGATTAGCTGCTCACCAGGAGGCAATCATTCCCATTATTTTGGGTTTTTGTTCAAAATTCTATGATCTTATTTCACTTGAGTTGGTGTTTTATGGGTACCGTTTGCTTGGAAAAATGTTTGCATATCATCACTTTGCATGTGGAACGAGAGTCCTCGGAGCTTTTGATTTAGCTAACAATATCAAATTTCCACTCCCGATCTGCAATAGTATGTTTGCTAATTGTTTACAGCAGGGGGTAAGCGTATCAAGAGACTGTGAATATACACTGGTGCTCACTCTGGATTAGAAAAAAATCTACAAATATTGAACAGATTTCTGGAGGATTTCTAAGCGTCTCAAACACAGAAGAGAAAGCTCGGCAGAGGACCACTATATGTTTGTCATTTTCGAATAAATTTGATCAATCACGGATATTTATCTCTGCACACCTTGATATGAGAAAGAACAGACCGGTCAACAACAGCGAAGCTGCTAACTACCAACATTGGGTGGTGGTAGCGGGTTTCGAACGTCGAACCCAAGGGACCAAAGCACACCACTATCAGTGAGTTAGACCCTTTTGGCCACCGTTACCGTGGTGAGACACAACACTGTTGAAAGAGTTGCTCTGTTCCCCGCTACAAATTTACACACAGGTGGACGGGATGCTATTGA